TCCCTCCACCACACTACATCGACCTGGAAAAGACTCCCTTTCCCTGGCCCTCAGCAATGATGTGAGGTGGTATAAAATAACCTCTACGTTCCAGCCATAGTCCCTCCTGGCTATTGCAAAAATCAACCCTGTCTTGACCAGAATCAGGACAAACAGCTACAACTCTTCAGGATTGATAAACATTAAATTTAGCCTTGCTTTGAGCAGCAGGTTGGATGAGACCTCTCAACGTCTCTTCCAGCCTCAATTGCCCTACAGTTTTTTACAGCAAACACTTTAAGCTGAAAATCCTGAAAATATTTTGTAACCTCATTTATAAATCTTTGCCCCAGAACTAACTTTTGAAACAGAATCTACTCCCAGAGGATGAGAACAGGGCAGCAATCCATAAAATCTAGGACACAGAAGCACAATAGGTATGAACCTGTCCTACTTAAGTAAAAGAATTGAAGAAGTGTGTATATTATCCTTATACCAAGTCAACTTACACAATTTAAAAATTAATCCAATGCAAGGGATATTTCTGGTTGTACAAACAGACTCACAAAGGATGCTAACAGTGAGCTGAGGTATTGGCAGCCATAGAATTCAGGTCACTTGAAAAGTCATAATCCTTGGGATCCAAGTAATGCCACAACAGTGAATCTTGAGCCACACTAACAGTATGAGATGTATAGATATTGCCCATGTGCTTTAAGAACTGAAACATTAGCATAAACTTCTCCATTCTCTCTACCTAGCCCTTTTTTCTCTTTGTGACCAGGAGAATAAGAAAGATATAACACTTTTTAAATAAGAAAGATAAAATTTACCACCAAGTAAAATGAAATGAATAATAATGCAAACTCTCGGCAGAAAGGGTTACCAAAGGAAACAACTGAAATAGAAGTAAAAAATCCTCTGTGATTTTGGCCTTCAGAGATATATTGGAGTAAGACTGATAATTTATGCAATTGAGACAACTGTCTCATTACAGGGCAATGTAAACCAGAGAGTTTCATGACTTTGAGGAGCAGCTAAGAGAAGTTAGATGACCTTAAATTATTGAGGACAAAAGACAGTGATCCAGCTAAGGAAAAATGTGATCAGCCCCCCCCAAAAAATTAAGTTAGATGGTAGTTGAAGAGATGCAGACTTCCTGTTGACTAAACTACATGAGTATGAAGTCCCTGTACAACAAGAACAAGAACTGAGCATCTATTCCTGTATGTGCTTGGGTGGCAGGACCACTGTAAGAAATTTAGATAGATATCCAAATTTTTCTAGATTAAAAAGAAGAGATCTATCAAACTGATGCAGTCTTTCTGGGACATGGAAAAATGAGAACGAGAACTGCTCTGTCTTTCTGCTAATATTAAAACCTCTCGAGTTACTACACAGGCTTCTCTAAAGATTCCATTAATTTATTTCTACTTATTTTATTTTGAATGAGAGTAACAGAGATGACATTCAATTACTTCTGATCTAGGGGCTTGTAATGCATTTTCAGTATACATAAGACAAATCACATCCTAACTCAGTGGTATTTTACAATAAAGAGAGAAGTTTTAGATACTTTTTAACTTTTTTGTCACTTTCAAAAAAAAATAAATAAGTGTAGTTTTGCCTGATGTTTCATTAGAGGGAAAATTATGGTTTCAGTGGATGTCAGCATCAGGAGGTCATTAACAGGCCTTGATAGTTCTTCCTCTGGGACTTTCACTCACACCTTTAGTCCTGTGTTTTCAGTTTCTGCCACAGACCTGTCCAGCAGTCACTAGACCTCATCCTGACCTGTGGAACGATTTCCCAACTTGGCCTTGGACCTGCCTCAGTGCTAAGGACTGACCACTTGGCTGATCCTGGCCTCGATCCCTGGGTCTGACTTTCTCCCTTGCAGTGGAACTGGGCTCTGCCCAGACATCATGTGCTCTCCTGCTCTGTTGCTGGTGGCTCCCATCCCTCACTGATCCCAGACAGAAAATTAATTAATTATTTCCTTCAGTTTTTCCGGTGCTTTCACTGTCTGCATGGGGAAGGGAGAAACTTTGCATGAAGCTGAAAAGGAAGGATTGAGCTCTAATCATTTTGAAGACCCAGGACTCAACATGCTCTACAATAAGAATTCAAGGAAGCTTTAACTGGATCTCGCTTTACCTGAAAGCTCTAATGAATCACACTAAATTGAGTTTGCAGTCTGACACAGAAGGTTGTTGCTTACCTTTCAAGAGGAATGGAAAGGCTTTGAGGGCAAGTGCAGCACTCTTGCAAACCTTTGAAAGTTGCAGTTTTAACTCTTAAGTGACCCTGACAGACATGAAATCCATCCCTTTGTCCCAAAGAAAGACCAAGAATCCCTATGTTGTGTTTGTTTAGTCTTATCCCAAAAAGTCCTATAAGAGAAAGATTAAAAACCCTACTCTGTCTATTCCACTATTTTACTCTTCTAATCTTTCTCATTAAACTTGTTTCCAGACAACTGAACTCTTTTATAGATGTCTCTGATCTACTTCCTTCTTGAAAATTATACTAGACCTGATGTTCCAACTTATATCTAATGAACGCTAAGTAGCATTTAAGTTTACTCAGTGTGTCGTGTCAATTTTGCATTGCACTGGTGTGGTGAAATGGGAGCTGTTTTTTCTTTTCTACTTTTTACAAGAGGTCAAGCATTATGAACTTCTTGACACTTACTCAGTTTGTGGTTCATTGTAGTGCTTCCCATATCTTTCCCTGGAGATCTGCTGCCTGGATAGTAATTTTTTTCACTTAAATATTATTTATATTAAAACTTTTATCAACGGGCTGCTTTTGGTTGGGGTAGAGTCAATTTTCTTCACAGGGGCTTGTATGGGGCTATGTTTTGGATTTGTGCTGAACATGGGGTTGACAAGATAGGCGTGTTTCTGTTATTACTGGGCAGTGCTTACACAGAGCCAAGGCCTTTTCTGCTTTTCGTACTGCCAGATTGTCAAGAGAGTTGGGGGTACATGGGAGGTTGGCATGAGACACAGCTGGGTCAGGTGACCCAAACTGACCAAAGGGATGTTTCATACCATATGACATCAGGCTCAGTATATAAAGTGGGGGGGAGAAGGAGGAAGTGGGGGACTGTTGAAGTGATGGTGGTTGTCTCCCCAAGCAACCATTAACACATAATGGGGCCCTGATCATCTGGGGGTGGCTGAACACCTGCCTGCCCATGGGAAGCAGTGAAATTAATTCCTTGTTTTGCTTTGCTTGTGCACACGGCTTTTGCTTTCCCTATTAAACTGTCTTTATCTCAACCCATGAGTTTTACAGCTTTTACCCTTCATATTCTCTCCCCAGTCCTACTGGTGGGGGAGCGAGTGCGTGAGTGAGTCTCTGTGTCAGTCTTGGCTGCTGGCTGGGGTTAAATCAATATCATCCTGAGACCTAATCCTGTCCTCTGCAAAGTACTTGCAGCTTTTCCCAAGTAGGTATCAACTGCAATTTAATAAACATTTTCTCTATCCCACTGTCCAGAGAAAACCTTATCTCTTTCTAGAGAAAACCACTTGACAGAATCTCATCCTTCTTGTTTGACAGTAAACCACTGATAACCACTCACTGAAATTATAATTCCAAGACAGAGAAGGGTAAAGTGTACCATACTTTTTGGTGACTTTTAGCTTCAGAATTTGTTTTAAAAACAAATATTTGACTGATCTGATGTCTTGGTAGCAAGAGTATTTGTTAGAGACTAGACTGCTCTTACGGTTATCTTCACCAAGATCAAATTTCTCTATTTTCTTTAGCAGCGCTTTTAACATTTTTGTAAGTAATAAAACACCACACTTATCACTATCACACCTCTTTGAGACCTGTTATCTTGTCATAGAGGGAAATCAGATTGCTTTAGAAGATTTATTCTGGACAAATCCATTTTTGTCATTGTTTAGCATCTTTTTATCTTCTGTGTGATTCCAAACAGATTATCTGCTCAAGTGTCTTTTCAGGAATTAAATTTAGCCTGACTGGCCTATAATTCCCTGAGCCTTTATGTGTTTTTGGGAAAGACAGACACAAATGTTTCTTCCCTCCCCCTACAATTCATTTACTTTTTATCCTTTAATTCTTGAAACTCATAAGGGAAGAGTCTAAGATTTCTTAAGTATTCCATAGTGAATTAATTGTGCGAGCCTATTTGAAAATATCTGACTCATCTAAGCAGACTCTAACCTGTTCTTATCCCTCTTCACTAGTTTTAATTATGCTAGTCTTCAGAACACAGTCAGCCTTTTTTAAAATGAATGCTGAGGAAGATAAAAACAACAACCAAACAACAAGGCATGCCTCTATTAGTTTTGCCTCTCTGTCAATTAATGGGCCGACTCTTTCCCTTGTCTTTTTGTGACTAATTACTTAAAGCATGTTTTCTTTTACTCTATTGTTAAAACGATGTATAAGTCACTTGGTTAATACTTTACTGCCATTTCTATGACCAAAATCATGCTCAGGGTGGAACTCAGAAGATTTTGGGGGTGCATGGCATGTGATCTTAAACAGTTCTGTGGGCTTCAGTCATTTCTGCCTCAGTAATCTCCCCCAATATTTTCAGCCATAGACTTACCAGATTTTGTTCATTATAGTTCCTACTGATGCTTAGAATAAATCAGAGCACAAAAGGAGCATAACAAAATTTGATTTATTCTCTCTTTTATGTGAGCCAGCATCAGGATACAAGCTGCCCTCAAAAACATACACTTTTGCAAGTCAAAGACCATAAAGGAACTCTGCACTTGGGTGCAATGATCTTGGATGTAAAAAAACAGACATGCATAAACATGGGTAGATTTTTATTACAGACAGTCAAATAAACCCCACAAGGGAATAAGCTTATTCAATACACTAAATGTGACCTACTAAGAGAAAGCCAAACAAGACTGATACAGTGGGTCTGTTTCTTTTTACTTAATTGCTATTAATACAGGAACTACCTCCTTAGAAATCTGGTATTAGTAGCTCTCTGTGTGTACCAGAAATTTTGGAAATCTTACCTCAGAAAACCTTGGTAAATCCTGGGTTAAAGTTCCTACTCTCTTCCAGTGATAGTATTTGAGTAACTTCAAAATTGCTGGATTGACTGCATTATCAGATGGCACTGTCCGGAAGAAATAAGGATATTTTTTCTTATCAGCCAGCTCTGGGGTTGTTGCTGCAAATGAAAGCTGGAAAAAAATCAAACAAAAAAAGAAATGAAAGTCACCACAAGTTCAGCTAGCAGTCAGAAAAAAAAAAAAACAAACCTTTGCTTTTCTCAGTGCAACAAGACACAATCCGTGCACTGCTGTCATGTAAAGAAGTTTCATCATCATATAGCTTGGAAGTCCTACAGCACCATTTACTTTTAAAGAGATTTTTGAACTTTAGCTCTATAATCCACCATCTACAAAATTAAACTAGGGAATAGTAAAAGTCAGTGGTGTAAAATCCTTTGTTTGAGATCATGCATCTTACACATTGTACAGATCAAGAAGGCCTAAGGGATTAAATCTCTATGATGAATTCGCCACCAACTGCTTTTCATAAAAGTTCAGAATAGCTCCAAGAGGATATTATATTCTCAAAGTCTTATCTATCTTTAAATTACTGGGTGAACCTCTAGTAGCACCTCTTCCTATCTTCAGGTAATAAAACAGCTCCAGGTAGCAGAAAAAGAGAAAATGGTTATGTTAGCCAAGGCTGCAACTCAGAAGTTTACTCGGGTTCCAGCTTCCTTCACTGAAGCAGCCTCCTGTGGTCTGAGTTATGAAAGGGGACTCAGTGGCTAATACACCCCTGAAAACACCAGAAATTTTTCACGGTTTCACAATGGTTGTAACAAAAGAGAAGAGGAAACCTTCTAAAAAATACAAACAAAAACTCCAGAAAACAATCACCAAATTCTTCTGCCCAAGTTAAAGGTGGCCTATTTTTGTGAATGATTTTCAGGTCCATTTATAACTAGAATGCCCGCGTGTTCACTTTTTGGAAACAATCCTATTCCAAAGATACTTCTGGTCATTCCCTCCAGTACATTTGAGGTTGCTAGGAAATTTCTTCTCAAGTATTATTTTTATTTTTCAGCCAGGAATAGTGGTTGAGGGGTTTCCTAAAGTAATGTTTTAATGCAAAATCGTTTGACTGGCCAAAAAAAAAAGCTCCTTTATACAGTTACTTTCAATTCATATTGAATTCACCTACAGTCAGAAAACGTAGGTGAATTCAAGACTATATAAGTATATCCAACTATAGCATTAAGTTTGCTTCCTGGAATCAAACATTCAGTATATTTGGCTTAGACACCCTTTTTGGACATTCAGATACACACGTTTAATCTGAAATAAAAATTCAAGTCTTTTCTTCATGTTTATAAAAATCTCGATTTAGCCTACCAGAGAGAGGACTCATTTTCTCTCTGATTTTAGATTCATGAAGAATATATTACATTGTTATAATGGCCTGAAAGCAGTTTATTTTTCTAATTAAACTCCCCCAACTCCAAACAACTTAAAGTGTGCATAACTGGACAGTTTACATTACACCATTCAAAATAGAAGATTCTTCCTCTTCACCAGTTAGGAGCTAGAGAATATTTTTTAAGACCTTCTACTGCCACATAATTCTAAGGTAAAACATTTTTATTATAGCAACTAATGTTCTGTTAGATTTCTTGAAAAAAGTACAGTATGAGGTGCTGTATACTGTCCTCTTAATTCCCATAAGGGAAGAAGAATGAACATCGGCCAGGTGGACCAAGTCAGGTTTTCTGTTGAACATCATTCATTCACTGTACAATGAAAATGGAAATAAGAACGTGCATCTCTGACTGAGAGAGAGAGAGAGAAAATTTTACATTAGAAATCCAACATGAAGAGGAATACCTCTCAGCAGCCTAGCTGCTTGCAGCCTGCTGACTGCAAAGGACTTGCTTTGCAAGCTATTATGGTTTTGGATCAAACGTAATTTGATTGATCCTTAGGAAAGAGAAGTAAAGAGCAACACTAAAGTAACAGTAGTGGTAAGAAGGATCAGCAAGGTTCACCTAACTCAGGTTTCAAAGATTGAATGGTAGATTTTTCTGATTGATAGTACAGGGCTCCATGGTAATGAGAAGCATCTCTATACCTATGAGATCGCTTTAGGATGGAGATCTGTGATGATATAAGACAGTTCAAACCCATCCTTTGTGACTTTTTAGTGATTTATAGTGCCTAAATTAGTATCCTAATTCCTTAAATATCCTTAGAAACAATGAAGCAAAACCTTACTTTTCTTCATTGCTTACAGAAAGATGAAGAAGACATAACAGATTTCTCAGCCATGTAAGGTGAGATGAGATGAATTCAGGTTTAAGAGTAAAACTAATGACATCTGAATTACAAAAGAACATTATTCTTCATTTTCTTTTTGAATAAAGGCTTTATTAAAATATAAAATAGGAAAATTTCATGCTCAAACAATTCTTGAATTTTAAGATATGTCCAGAGGCCTTACTTTCAAGCATCACATGGTTGGTCTTATTCTGCATCACTTTGACATTTAATAAGACACTCATAAGAGAAGAAGAAATATCCTGAAAAAGTTAAGTCATTGAAAGCAATTAACTTTTCCTGACATAATCCGCATAAGAGTTTGGGACATGCAATGAACTTAACCCAAAAAACACCAGCACTCAATATTCTGTTTTGAGAGGAACAAGGAGGAAAAATAAAAAACCTCAACATGTTCTAAAAACTAGTAGTGAAAAAATCGTGTTAAAAAATGAATTGACACAAGGTAGACTTGTGATTTGATACAGCATGGAAATATAAGGAAAATATTCGAAACTAAAAATTTATGTGATAAAGCAAGTAAGATCACAACACAGTCCACCTACATATGCACTGAGATGGTGAATCCTTTTTAACTGAACAAAAATTCTCTGTATTTTAGGTCTATAGTGGTTTAATCATGGCTGATTTGAAACTTGCAGCCTTTTCATAGTTTCTTCATTTCATTCTACATGACAGAAAGTCATTCTGCTTTTACTTACAGAAATCTCTTTTTATAACTTTCAGTTATTTAGTGAAAAATCTGGATGAAGGGCAATCATACTGTTCAAATAATTCTCTATAAAATACAAAAATATTATTTTTCACCTTACTGCATTTTCAATGCAGACATATTCATGCACTGCTAAAATTTTTTTTACAGGTGTTTACAACTGACTCTCCAAATTCAGGAGGAGTGAGAAATTAACAGTTACAGGCAGGATTATAACTCAGCAACAAATGCCTGTGGGGTGTATGATGTAATTCTTTCATAGAAAATTATTTTATGTAACTGCTAAAAGGCGATGACCAAAAGTGAAACTTCAAGAAAGGATGAATGACAGGAAAAAAAAGGGTTTTCTCAAGTCTTTATAAAGCAGAGGACACAGTGAACAGCTACCAGGCGACACATCATAATTGCATGTGGTGTTTGTGTGTGTGCTTACATAAACAGGATCTATGCATATGAGTATGTAGATCTAGGAAAAAAAACCCCACTCATTTATTTAGCATATATATCAGTTTGAATACTGTCAGAAAAACTGAAGTTACCTCCTAGATTATCTCTGAAAAATCTTTCTTTAGAATATCTGCTTTCAATTTGATACAATTTGTGAGCAACCGTGTCTGAACTTAAAACACCTGTATGTAGGGAAACATACATAAACTATGACTCAGATGGAAATCTCTGAAATGAAACATTTTAAAACTCTGATATAGAAAATAAGGTAATATTTACCATTCAAGCAAGAATGATAACTATAGCACAATATGAGAATCAAAAAGACCAAGGTATGGAATAGCCTTGGGTGGACTTTGCTGAAAAACTGAAAAAATATACAGAGGGATTTTATTAAAGAGGTTTTGGGGTATATGTTTTGATAAATTAAATTTTCTCAAGAATGACGGTACTTTTTGAGATAAGAAAAATGTTGATTTAGTTGAAAATCCACACATTTTCATGGAAAGTTTCCCCCTGCAGAAGGTGAATAAAAGCTAGCTTCATAACCCTATATTAAATGAGGTGTGGTAGATTAAACCAAGAACATCAGTCTGAATTACTTTCAGTCAAAGCAAGTATGCTCCTGTTTAAGGAAGTAACAGTGCATTCTCCTAAAGAAAGTCAGTACAAAAGCAGGAATGGTGAGATGATAAGCTCTACCACTCAGCAGGAAAGACTAGGAGTTCCTTAAAAAAGGATAGCGCAGGGATAGGTGCAACTGCGCAAGAATTCGTTTCGCTAAGAAAGGCTGCAAAATGCCTTCGCAAACCAGTTAGATGGTTTTTTTCTTCCTTCTGCATTTCAGATAAAGTTGCAGGGAGAAGCTGTGAGCAAGCTCTGCCTCTCCCTGGTATGCAGAGAGATAATATACTTGCAGACATGTACAAGGGCTCCTCAGGCGAGGAGAGAGAGAAAAGATACAAATAGCCTTGGAGAAGGTGGGGCTTTGCCTTTTTCCCCAGGCCTGGTGTGTGCAGCATGGTTTAGAAGTGGTCCTTGCATCTGAAATAAACATTTTTTTAATCCTTCCATTGCCTAGGCATTCTTGGGAAGAATTCCTGCATATGTTTGACCTTACAGATGGATATTAGAATAGTAAAACAAAATTAGAAGAGGAAACAACACTAAATACTGAATGTATTTATTCCATATAGAAGTACAGAAGTTGGAAGCTGGAAGGCTGAATGAAGCCACACTGTTGTCCCAAGTACTGAAACAGGAAAGGAAGCCACCAGAAACGGCAAGTGATCTTCTGGTATTCAGATGTTTTATTATCTCAAGGAAGCATTTATATTTAATTTTTGTCACTGTAATATTGTACAGAAGTGTGGGAAAAATAAAAGAGCAGAACTATCCCTGGGTAACCAGTCACTCTCATCTAAGGCAACAGGTCCGTTTAGAAGTTTAGACTTGTTTAAGAGGACTGTATCAGATGAACTAAATCAGTAACAGAAACTCCTAGCAAAGTTATTATAAGTCCAATAAATGAGTAGGGTAGGAAACTACACTTCCCTTGTAAAGCAAAGAATAGCTGGTGGAGCAGAATGGTGAGAGGAGCAGGAGCATCTCCCACCACAAGCTCACCAGCGGATCAAAGAAGGAGCCTGTCACCCAGCAGAAGGTGCCAGAACACTCCTGCCACTTGCCTCTCCAA